TGAATGCTGAGAGTGACAAAGTTCCACAGATATTGGATACAGGCCTGAGCCAATGCAGCCCACAAAACTATGCAGAGTTTTTGACAAAAAACTGCCAAAACTCGGTCAAACTACAGCAGAGCAATACTTGGCAGTCTCTTGAAGGCCAAAGATCTATGGAAGGGTGCCTTTGAAAGATGAATTAACTTTCTAAAGATCATTTTGGGCTGGATAAAGAGATCTTCAGTGTCTCCCTTCTCTCACTAATGGCTTGGCAACAGTATCTGAAAAAAAAAAAACCACTACATGGTGGAGTAACTGTAGACCTGGCCTGGTTGATGTTTGGTTATGTCCTTGGGAATGCAGTACATTACGTAAGAAAGCAATCAGTTGGTAAGCTCACAAAATACTGCATTACAATACTACCGAGTCATAATCATCAAGTTTCATTGGTGACGAGGCATCAGTTCAGAAAAAAAAAAAAACTGCTAATTCATTCATGTAACACACACATTATATAACCTCATAGAAACAAACACTACCACACTTCAGGAAATTATCCAGAGCAGCACCCCAATGCTTTATTATACTAGGTACTCGCCTAGCTGTCACTTGTACCCCCTCACAATGTTGTCCAATGGTGTTTGTGCATTTGTGAAATGTCATAGACTGTACAAACACATTCATCCCATCCTCATAAATTCCTGCCAGTCAGATGCCCCCCCCCCACAACATCCCATGCACTATTCACATTCAATCTTACTTTACCATATCTCCAACTTCTTCCCAGTTTTCCTCTCCTTCTACCTTTATATATATGGGAATACACTCATTCCACATGTCTAGTATCATCCAATCATTCATTATGCCCAAACCCTTTTGGTATATTCTAAATTGTGAGATTTATTGATGGATGCCACATCTTAATAAGTACAATTTCATTCTCCTAACACCACATATGCTTCTCAAAATGTGTATTTTGACTTCTCTAGTTCATACCACTTCATCTCTCATCACCACAGACAGGCACTACCGCTCCTTTGTACGGCTCCATCTGGCTATGTTTCTTCCTATCATGTTTTCCTTACCAAACCCTTCATTATATCAGTCACTTTCCTTTAATGCCTCGCTCTACTCTCAACTTCTCTAGAAACAATTCCTCGTTAGTCAATCATAGGTATTTCAACCGATTCGCTCTGATTTCATTCACAGTAATATTACTTAAAGATTCAGGTACTAAACACCTAATAACTTTCCAAGATGCATGAAGAATATACATATTTTTTTGTAATCTTGGTGTAAGTGATGTGGTGCCTATTGTACACAGAGATGTCTTCAGCCTGCTAGCACTGCATGGACACCAAGTGTCATGGTTTACTATGAACATTTCTATATCCAACTGCCATTTTAATATGAACAGATGCTCCTTCCCATAGTAAGACGAAGATTTTTGTTCACAATTCACTATATCCATTTTTATCATGCCAGAACTGCATGGTAAAATTATTAAAAATTAATTTGGCAAAATACAAGCAATGGATTTCTTAATACTATGCATATTTTTTAGAAAAAATACAACTTTCATTCGTCATTATTTAAACACATTCCAAGCAATGTTTTCTCAAAATATACATATTTTAATACTGTACTTAAAAGTACTACAAACTCATAAAAGATTTTAAATAAGGACATCAGTTCAGCTGAGCTGAACTTGACTGAGTATAATTAAAAGAAACTATTTTGTAAGTATTCAAATACTGCATTAATTTCAACCCTACCAATTATTGAAAACTGACATTAAGACAATAATCTGTTAATAACACAGATCCCTGAGACAGATGAAGTCAAACTAAAAATAATAACAATCAACCTTATGCCAGAATCACAAAGATAGATTTGCTGAATACGTATCGAGAATGTATTATGTACGAATATGTACGAGAACGAACACAAAACTGTTCTCAAAATAGCAAATAAGGACAACATCTTTCTTTCATGACAAGAAATAAAGAAACCAATGCTGAATTACTACGTGTGGCACTACAGACGAGACTACAACTCAAGATGTCAGAAGAACGCAGTAACCTAGATACCAGTTTATCCTATACATAGTATGGAAGCAGCATTTATATTTGATATATTAGAATTATTATAATAAATATAGAAAGAATTAAATAGAAGCTCTTTACATATGTAAAATAAATAACTTTCAGATCACAACCTTGCTAAATGCAATACTGTGAGTAAATACATGTTTTGTATTATCTAACCTAATTCAGGTACACAATCAATCACTCAAAATCTTGGCTTATAAAATAGGCATATTCAGTAATTGACAATAACATGTGTCTAACCATGAAACCAATCAGGCAACACACACATTTTACCTTCTGTACCTACAACCATATAACAAATTTTAATCCTTTCTTATAAGTACATTCAAGATGTGCTAGGCTTATGATAAACCTCCAGAGACTTCACATCTAAAATGGACATTTTACCCCTCATAAAATTAAATAAATATACTAAAAGATATTTTATTAAGGATAAAAAAAAAAGGGAAAGCAAGTACAGTACACACTTGCTCATTGTCTCCAAGAACAACTACCAAGAATCAGGAGAAAAAGTATGCACGTTAGATATAACTGAATCAAGAGGAAACATAAATATCAGATACAATACAGTGAGAGAAATAGATATTAGAATGTATAATATAGATTATTATTAATAGTGTCCAAAAAATATTAATGTCGAATACAGTCATGTCTTGGATATCCACAGTAAGTGGTTCCAGAAATTGTTTTTATATATTAAAATCAGTTGTTCAAGCAGTGTTGTCACTGCGTGATAAAGCAGAATAGAATACTGATGATGGTGTGTGGAAGTGTGCTAGCAGACAGCTGAGACCCAGATATGGACTGCATGACAAACTAACACACAACCATCCTATCAATTTGTCCCAGAATTTGTCAAGATGTGGAGATGTACAATTAGCAATTATGTCCACCAATCAATACAAGTGGATAACATGAAGAAATAATACCTAGACAATATATAAACAAGAAGAGAAATCCATTAATAAAGGACAACTCTGGTAAACATCAGAAATGAGACAGGTTAGATATTTGAATAACTGATCAGCTATTTAGGTGAAGACAGACAAATTGATGGTAAATACAACCCCATTTCTTTTGTTGTTCTTTCAAGGAATCCAAAGCCAACTGTTGCAATCTAATAAATCAAGAATTATCACTAAGTTCATGCACTTATAAATTAAAAAATTCATATAATTTAAATACATGACCCAACATCTTCACAGATTCTTAGCTTTTGCCACTGGACCTCAGTTCTTAAGTCCATTTCTAATCTAAAGGAGAACCTCCAAAATACACAAGTTCACTGCCATATTTGCTAACTTAGTATTTTATTTTTTCTTGTTAGTAACACAAATCAATCATACACTACATATACAAATGTAGGAAACCATTACTTATGTTACAAGCTAAGAAGTACCACATTTAATGACTAGACAACAGTACTAAATTTTATTAATATAAGCCAGAACTTGCTTAATATGTTTTAACTTGACTGCTAGCCAATAATGCCATCTACTATCAATAACATAACTACAATTCTTGTGATGCGCATGAAACAGAAACGCTACTAACTATTGTACGTATTTATCAAGCAAACATCAAACTTTCACATTAGTGTATAATTCAGACATTCCATCACATGTGCATTGTACAACAGAATCTAATGTGTGATATTTACCACTACACGCCTGATATTACACCAATACGACTTATTATTCCACCAACATCAGCACCCAGACACTAATCACACGTGACCTACTATGAGAGAGTTGAGCACTGTATCTTATGTGGCAGTGTACACCACTCTACACAACAGACACACTATGATGCAGACCTGCATCAATCCCTGAACAAATACTATGAAATAGATGCATGCAATTTACTGTTTAAAAAGTAAATCACAGTCTTCTTCAATTTTTTTTGCAAAAATCAAAAGCAATGTATGAAAACCATTTTCTAGTACTGTAACACACTTCAATTTACTTAAGCTTTCCCAGAATAAAAAATTACAATGTGCATTCATTCTACAGATGTACTGCATAATCATTGAAATGCATAGTGCATACATTTACATATATATAACTTTATCTATTATCCATGAGTCAGATATACACCACAGCCAAGATATGAATAATGTATGGCACTACACAAATGAATAATTGCTGAAAACTGCATAAGCAGCCATATACAGTATACGTATTATTTAAGATAAACTAATGCAATATGTTGCCAGGACATTAGGACAAAAGTCTGCCATAAAAATAGTTAGGAACTTTAAAAACTCAAATATCCAGAATTTTTAAAGATATTTTATCTAGTCAAAACACCATACATTTTTCTGATTGGGTAATGAAAATTAATATCTGCACAAAATCAATTTCCTTTGACCCTTTGGCCTGGTTCTGGCATTAGTGACTAGCCAATAATATCCTCATTTACACAGAAGAGCACTATATATACAAATCAAAATATAAAATAAAGGCTACCAGAATAACTTACCAGAGAAACTGCAGCATAGTTATAATTTTGTTTGTTCGATATAGATGTGTGCATGTATGCATGCATATCTGTCAACATATGAAAGGGTATGCTTCAGAGATTTAAATAACAGTCTTGGTGTTGCAATGAAGAGGACACTAATCTATGTAAATTCATGTCTGTGTTAACCATACCATTTTCTGCACCATTAATAATCTTTGAATATAAAACTTCATAGATATGATTGAAAAGTTATAACATACTTAAAATAATGGTAATACATGCTTCAGAACATCAAATATCAAACAAAACACCTTCAAATATATAAATGAATTTGTGCAAAGTTAAAACTTTATAAAGTATAAAAATGTTCATATTTCCTAATATACTATACTACACAACTACACAACTACCAAACATTCCCGAATGATCTGAAGGAGTGTTTACCTCAACAGAAGAGTTGAATTTGTGGATGTCAGTGACGGCCAGTCCACTTGTTTCCCTCCCACCCTCAAAGAACGGCAGAGTTCCACTGGCAAGGCTGCTCCCACTGCTACTAAATCCATTAGGTGGTGGTGATGAACTAGTCAGCCATTTGACTCGTTGCTGATGCTGCCACTGCTGTTGCTGTTGGTGCTGTTGCTGGTGATGCTGACGTTTCTCTATCTCTAAGCGCATCAGTGTGTGGATGAAGTGAGTGCGCACACGAATAGGATTGAACTCTATTCTTCCATATGCATTACCACAGCCCTCTCGAGAACAGCCACAGGGAAAGTTGTGACGGTCAACCTGAAAAAGAGCAACACTAGAGCTCAACTCTTGATACTATACTACTACTTATTCATTATTTATCTAATTACATACAGGTTTTAAACCCTATGCTGATCATAATTGTCTATATGGTCAACTTTTGGGAGACAGGGAGATAAAGTATTTGAACAAAGCCCAAAAAATGAATTGACTAACCTGACATTTGATGCCAGCCTCAGCACACTGGCAAGTGTCAGGGTCACAGTAAACTTTGCATTGACATCCACACATCTCTCTTGACATCCTGATATCCTTGCATTCCTCTTTCTCGAGACCCTCAATGTGACAGATTCCAGCCTGGCGTAAGAGAGCTCGGCGCTGACGGATTGGTAAAGGCTGAGGATAAATAAAGCAAGAAATATTTGGTAGAATGATTAATGATTTTTACCTGGCACCAGATTTATGTAAATCTTTGAACCCCTATGTGATTAATAACAAATTATATATTTTTTAATCACTGTCAATTGAGGAAGGAACAATATTTCTGATACTTTGACCATTTAAAGCCTATTTAAAAGGTATAGGTATGGGGGTGGGGGTTGATATTTGATAGGTAGGGGTGGAGTGAGTATATTGTGGTTGGGGTGGGTAAATGGCCGTTGGGTGGGGTGGGTAAATGGTGGGTGGGAGTGAGAACAGGGTTGGTGTTATGTGCATAGAAATAGTCACTCCCTGTTCACTCTCACTCTCACCCATTGTTCTCACAGGAAGTGAGAACAATGGGTGGTGGGAGTCCATGGGTATTTGTTGACTGGGTAGATGGGTGTTGGTGGGCAGTTAATGGTCGGGTGGGTATTTATTTGTGGGGTGGGGGAGGGGATAAGCATTTGAGTGGGCACAGTATGGTTTATAAATGAGGTTTAAGTGGAGGTGTGGATAAGTACGCTTCCTAACTGTGCTTATGGGAGGCAAGTTCTAGTGCTTGGACCCTGATTTACTGCCACTGTGCTTGACGAATTTATATCTCCTGACATTACAAGTCATACATGTTCTTGAAGCCATCTTGCTTTAGATACAGCAGTTCTTTTAATTGACAACACTTTTACTTCACCATGGCTTGATTTGTAACGACTCGTCAACTGATGGTCTACTATAATTTCTCCACGAAGTCCACTTACGTTAAATAATAATTAAACATATTTCTTATGATATTTACCTTACACTCTAGTATTCCTGCTTTATAATTAGCAACTCTCCCTTACAGACATAATTTACAATCATTACCTGGAGAGCAAAATATGAAGTGAACCAATGTTCACAGCTGACCCACTTGCCTAATGCATCACAGCCTCATGACACTATCAAAATAAAGCTAAGAAGTCTTACTTGAAGAAAATAGTAGGAATCGGCATCCAATTCTGAGTCGGAAAGATCACTGGCCTCCTCACTGTTTTCCTCGCTGTCCTCTGAACTACTGCCCCGACTGCTGCTGTCTCTTCGCTCCTGCAATAACACATTAACATTAGAAAATGTAGCTTCTTGAATTTTCCGATACAAAACCATATGCTGTAAAACCTTAATAGGTACAGTGAGTACCTATTTACAACAAGAAAGACTTGTTTTCTGCCTAATACATTCCAATCATGTTAACTGATCAAGATTGGATATATATCTTAATATGTAAACAAAAGTTCACTGGTAGGGTTCGCTGTTCAAGCTCATAATTCATATCTGACATTGTAGAGATAATCTGAATGGTGTGTTGTTGTGACTGCCAGTGTAAGGTCAGTGCAAGTGCTCTACAGGCTATATTCATCTGATGACTTGTGTTCTCCCATGATATAAAGTTATAGATAGGGCCTACTTATACCATCTAAGTTTATATATTATATACTGTAATACTGTAAGTATACTGTATACTTTTTGCTCTATGAACAGATAACTCTGAATACAGACCCTTGCCGTTCGTTGTTGTCGTAATCTCATGAGATATTCCCTGTGTGCCCTTCTCTGTTCCACTGCATGTTCTGCCAAAGAAAACTGACGAATATGTGAATGTCGGCGCGACATTCCTAATGAGGAGCCACCTTGGGAGGGAACACATGTGAAGCCTTGTGACCTGGGAAAGTAGAAAACTGTCACACCTTCAAACTGGATGCCTCGTTTACACTTCGGTGGTGTTGCTTCTGGAAAATGAAGAAAAAAAAAAAAATTAATAATTTTATATATAGCCCTGTACTGTAACACATACTGTACATCAATGATTTGATACTCAAACGATGTATGTCATATACATATAGTATCTACGGTACTTTGCTACTCATCTTTGCTTCTGAACCTTCAATTCCTCTCAAAAACTCCTATATACCCAGCAACTGAAAACCTTCAAATCTCGTAGGCAAGATCCATTTTCCTCTCCAGACCGCCTAACGCATTCCTCCGCCTTCTGTTCCATTACAGTACAACCTCGATTTCGTGAACTATGTTGGAGCAACCCCGATATGTTGCAACTGTTAATAAGTTTAATTCAGTTATTATGCACCTCATGCCCATCTTATAGGCATAGTGGGAAAAGGTTACAGAGGTACATAATGGACTCAGGGACTGAACCCCACAATTCAATTAGCTAACCATCACAATCTTGATGAACTAGTTACAAAACTCAATGCACATACGTCACATCAGCAATGGACTTGAGACGAACCACACATTGCTTCAAAAGGTGACACCCCTAGGGTCAACACTTGCAGCAGAGGAGCTCCAGCATATTTCAACAATCCTAAGTATTGTAGTACAGGTTGATGGTAGTGAGTGGTGTCCCAGAGAACATAAAGGTATAGTGCTCTTGAAAAATAGGTGAGATAACAGGAAAGTGCTAAGGGAAGTGAAAAATCGGATGAGAAAAAGTTGCCCTAGTGTTTACAGTGCAGAGAAGAACATTCAAGATGGCCACTGGCAAGGGGAAAAACAAAACAGAGCTTGATTTTGAGGGATTCAATGAAGAAAGCATTGATATTAGCAGTCTACATAACAAGTTGGTAAATTTAGATACTATAGTGAACTCTCATGTAGAAATAATTAGTAAATTGAAAGAAAGTAATGACCATTTAAATAGCAAAGTTTTATGTCTTGAGGGTTTAGTGAAAGACTTGCGCAAGGATAAGAATCAATTGGAAACAAATTGCAAAGCCATGGAAGAAGAAAATAAACTCTTAAAAATAGCTTTGGAAGAAGTTAAAGTAAATTTAAACATAAATGACTACAATAGGTTAGGCAAGGAAATTCAACAGGAGAAACAGCTTTTGTCAGCACAGATGGAGGAAGTTACACAGGGAATAGAACAGTGCAAGAAAGATATGCAACTCACTTATGCACAAGTGGCCAAGGAGAAGGAAAAAATAGAAGAAGCAGTAAAGGAAGTCAAACACTGCAGCAACCAAGATAAAACAAACATTAGGCTAGAAGTGAGGAAAGAATTGGCATCTAACCCGAAGTTGGTGCAAAACACAGTTGATCGGAGTAAGTCCCTGATCATTTTTGGCTGCAAAGAAAAGGCGATAACATCTAGGTCAGAAAGAGCTGTAGAAGAAGCTAAAGTAGTAGATAAAATTGTTGGCCTCGTGGAAGGTCTTACAAACAGAGAGAATGTGTGCGACTACAGGAGAATAGGCAGGTACGTAAAAGGGAAAGATCGACCTTTGAGGATCACCCTAAACGGTGCCAAACAGATGGAAGAAGTACTAAGGAATGCTAGAAAATTGCAAAGGGATGAGGATGGGAAAGGGTGGTCGTTAAGACGAGATCTTTCAAAAGAAGATAGAGAGAAGCTGAAACTGAACCTCGCCGAGGCAAAACATTTAAATGAGAGCAGGAATGAAGAAGAAATAAATTCTTTTTTCTACAAAGTGATAGGGGTAGGCAAACCAGTAAAGTGGTACATAAAGGCAAACCAACAAAATCAATAGAGAGAGGGGGAGTGAAGAATAAGGAGAGGGGGAACAAGTTCCTGAAGATTGCATACACCAACATAGATGGAGTGAGATCGAAGATACTGGAGTTAAGTGATGTAATACAGCTGCAGACACCAGACATTGTTGCACTCACGGAGACAAAACTTGAAGATGTAATTTTAAATGAGGTCATATTCCCAAGGGGCTACTCAATTTGGAGACGGGACAGAAAAATTAGGAAAGGCGGTGGCGTTGCTGTGCTGGTAAAAGAACACCTAAAGGTGAAGGAAATAATGACTGCCAATCCACAAGAAGTTGACATAATAGCACTAGAGATCTGCTATGAGGATGATAAACTAATGATGATAAATGCATATAGTCCACCGCCAAGCAGCACATGGTCAAAGGAGGAGCTAGATAGTAAACGTGAAGGTCTTATAACAATAATGAGAGAGATTATAGCGAGAGCGGATAACGATAGATCACGACTGTTGATAGTCGGTGACTTCAACTTGAAATCCATAGACTGGGAAGCATATGAAGCTAAAACAGAAGATTTTTGGACCTGTAAATTTGTAGACCTCATCCTGGAAACATTCTTGTATCAACATGTTAAACAAGCTACGAGGATGAGGGAAGGGGACGTTCCCTCCATGCTAGATTTGATATTTACCAGGAAGGAGGAAGAGATATTTGACATTCAGTACCTTCCTCCCTTGGGTAAAAGTGACCATGTCTTTTTGGGAATAAAGTATGCAATGCGTTATAAGCTGGAAGAAAATAAGGAGGTTGAAGCAGTTGAAAAACCAGACTTCAGGAGAGGACATTATGGTGACCTTAGAAATTTTTTTAGTGAGTATAATTGGACAGACTTGATGCTAGGCAAGGAAGTGAATGAGATGTATGGCAAGTTTTGTGAAATATATGATAAAGGCACAAAAAAATTTATACCAAAACAGAGATGCAGAACTAGGAAACAGGATTGGTTCAATAGAAATTGCGAGAGGGCTAGAGACCGAAAGACACAAAAATGGAATCAATACAGGAAGAGGCCGAACCCCCAAACATACCAGCGATACAAAGATGCGAGAAACAACTACACGGCAGTGAGGAGAGAGGCAGAAAGAAATTTTGAAAAAGGGATTGCGGACAAATGTAAAACAGAACCAGGTCTATTCTATAAATTCATAAACAACAAATTGCAGGTAAAGGATAATATTCAGAGGTTGAAAATGGGAAATAGATTCACGGAAGATGAAAAGGAAATGTGTGAAACACTAAACGAAAAGTTCCAAAGTGTGTTTGTACAAAATGAAATCTTTAGGGAACCAGATACAATAAGAATTCCAGAGAACAACATAGAACACATAGAGGTGTCTAGAGACGAAGTGGAAAAAATGCTCAAGGAGCTCGGTAAGAACAAAGCAGCTGGCCCAGATGGCGTTTCACCATGGGTTCTGAGAGAATGTGCATCTGAGCTCAGCATTCCACTTCACCTGATCTTTCAGGCATCCCTGTGTACAGGAATCGTAGCAGACGGGTGGAAACAGGCTAACATAGTTCCAATCTACAAAAGTGGCAGCAGGGAAGACCCCCTCAATTATAGACCTGTATCATTGACAAGTGTAATAGTGAAAGTATTGGAAAAACTAATCAAAACTAAATGGGTAGAACACCTAGAGAGAAATGATATAATATCAGACAGACAGTATGGTTTTCGATCTGGAAGATCCTGTGTATCGAATTTACTCAGTTTCTATGATCGAGCCACAGAGATATTACAGGAAAGAGATGGTTGGGTTGACTGCATCTATCTGGACCTAAAAAAGGCTTTCGACAGAGTTCCACATAAGAGGTTGTTCTGGAAACTGGAAAATATTGGAGGGGTGACAGGTAAGCTTCTATCATGGATGAAAAATTTTCTGACTGATAGAAAAATGAGGGCAGTAATCAGAGGCAATGTATCAGAATGGAGAAATGTCACAAGTGGAGTACCACAGGGTTCAGTTCTTGCACCAGTGATGTTTATTGTGTACATAAATGATCTACCAGTTGGTATACAGAATTATATGAACATGTTTGCTGATGATGCTAAGATAATAGGAAGGATAAGAAATTTAGATGACTGTCATGCCCTTCAAGATGACCTGGACAAAATAAGTATATGGAGCACCACTTGGCAAATGGAATTTAATGTTAATAAATGTCATGTTATGGAATGTGGAATAGGAGAACATAGACCCCACACAACCTATATATTATGTGAGAAATCTTTAAAGAATTCTGATAAAGAAAGAGATCTAGGAGTGGTTCTAGATAGAAAACTATCACCTGAGGACCACATAAAGAATATTGTGCAAGGAGCCTATGCTATGCTTTCTAACTTCAGAATTGCATTTAAATACATGGATGGCGATATACTAAAGAAATTGTTCATGACTTTTGTTAGGCCAAAGCTAGAATATGCAGCTGTTGTGTGGTGCCCATATCTTAAGAAGCACATCAACAAACTGGAAAAGGTGCAAAGACATGCTACTAAGTGGCTCCCAGAACTGAAGGGCAAGAGCTACGAGGAGAGGTTAGAAGCATTAAATATGCCAAAACTAGAAGACAGAAGAAAAAGAGGTGATATGATCACTACATACAAAATAGTTACAGGAATTGATAAAATCGACAGGGAAGACTTCCTGAGACCTGGAATTTCAAGAACAAGAGGTCATAGATTTAAACTAGCTAAACACAGATGCCGAAGAAATATAAGAAAATTCACCTTCGCAAATAGAGTGGTAGACGGTTGGAACAAGTTAAGTGAGAAGGTGGTGGAGGCCAAGACCATCAGTAGTTTCAAAGCGTTATATGACAAAGAGTGCTGGGAAGACGGGACACCACGAGCGTAGCTCTCATCCTGTAACTACACTTAGGTAATTACACTTAGGTAATTACATACAGTTTCTAAATTAAGCAACTGACATGTGGAGAGCTAGTGTCACAATTGATATGTTTTTCCTGCACAACGCGCCCCATCCAGTGGGCAGTGGTGGATATGTTACAATCACTCAGTTACTACCTACAGTTAGCAAACTGGGGATATTTGTTGCACTGGAGATGCTTTCTGGCTGCTTTTTTGTTTTAAAACGAAACTACATTGCTATGTCTGTTTATTTCTCCTAATTTGCCTAAAAAAAAAAAAAAAAAAAAAAAAAAAAAAAAAAAAAAAAAAAAAAAAAAAAAAAAAAAAAAAAAAAAAAAAAAAAAAAAAAAAAAAAAAAAAAACATAACTGGAACCATATAAAGTGCTACCATTCATATCCTAGTATTTCCCATACACTATGGGCTAATTTCATCGAGCAATATTTAAATTTCAACCTATCACTTGATTAACTACCACTAGAACATGTCTAAAGATTTCACCACATCTAACTAATTTCTCCATGCTCCAGCTTCAAAACCTCATTTTCAAAGGCAGCAGGGAACATTTCACTGACAAATTTCAGTTTCAGTCGATTCTATAAGGAATAATCTCCAGCAGGTCCTGGCTGTAAAGAAATTTCACCCTCATTGCCAGTAATTCTCAGGAACTAGTCCCTTGAATCTTTTGTAAAGATAGGGGGGGGGGGGCATAATACCAAAATGGTGTAAATACAGTTCAATATATTTCATCACCAGGGGGGAAGATGAAGCAAGGGAAGAATTATCTCCTTGGAGAACCATAAATGTTGATCTTTCTGATGCAGATTACTTATTTCTATTGTTACCTTTTTCACTGCAAAGCCTTCTGATGTTTAGGTTAGTCTTTAAGTTCAGGTAAGTACACATCTGTGTAACTGAGACACACACTGTGCTCGGCCTCCCTGCTGCTCAGAGGACAGTAAGGTGCCAGTTTCCTCCTCTGAGCCAGTTCTTGGTGGGCGCCGTGGTTTCGCTTCCTTTAACATGAAACTGCAGTTATGGCTTTCCCAAAGTGAATTAGTACTCTTGGTCTCTGATGATCAATCTTGCTGTCTGTCACTGCCTGTTGGGTTCAGGACCATGCTCATCCTTGGGAATGGGACATGTCATCATAGATTTCTACTTTAGTGAACAACCATCACAGTCAACAGCTGCTCCTCAGGATTGGACCTCCTAGTTCCGTTTTTTGGCAGTTCCTTTTGGTCCAGCCTGTGAGGTGATGGACTTTGTTGTTCTTTGAGGAGGAAGTTGAGCATTTGGTGTAGTACACTTGTGCCAAATACTCTCTTTCCCATTCTGATGTGTCTGCATCGGCTGTCATGTTGTAGGTCCATACAGCCACTTAAAGATGAATTTTAAATTTCCTAACATACAGAACCCAGAGTCAAAAGAGTAAGATCTGGATCCACTGTGAAAGCCTCAGTCCTCCAGGGTGCTGTACTTGCCCCAGTATTTTTCTTCATTCTTATATCAGACATAGACAAGGATACAAACTACACCAGCATATCATCCTTTCCAAGTGACAAGGATTTTTCATGAGTATACAATATATACACAAAAAGCTTTCAAACTAATGACAAATATTTCTTTAGATGGGAAATAGAAAACAGGATAGAAATAGAATGGGCCAGAGAAAACTATGCTATTTAATGAAGACAAGCTCTAGTTCCTGCACTATGGTAATAAATACACAATTAAGTCAGCAACCACTTATAGAACAGTCTAATCGCACTAAAAAAAAAAAAAAAAAAATAATGTGAAAAATCTTAGATTTTGTTAGAAGACTTTACTTTTAAAGAATACAAAGTAGCTGTCACAATCAACCACAAGAAAATAGACAGGCTGGATAAAAAGAACCTAAAGGTCAAATCAATGACGGTACTTTTTAAGACACTAATGGTGACTAAGGTGGAATATTGTTGTACACTAACAGCCCAATTCAAAGCTGGAAAAGTTACTGACCTGGAGAATGTGCAGAAACTTTGCTACCCAAATCCATGCCATATTGGTATGTAAATTATTAGAATTGCCTAAAATCTCTCACTCTGTATTCTTTAGAACACAGGTGAGAGATGTACATAATTTACTCCTGGAATGTATTAAGAGGAATTGGGTCCAAATCTGCACATGGAAATAACTCGGAGAGACGGGGAGGCATGGCTGTACGTATTTGCAAAATACCTCCATTGTAATGAAGAGTTGCAATGGCTATACTGTACTAAAAGACAATTCTAATAAATGCTCAAGACTTGTCAATATCCTCCCTCTAAACATAAAGGGCATAACTGCCTGACCCTCTCACAGTGTTTAAATGGAAACTGGGCTAACACCTCCAAAGGATACCTGATTAACTGGGCTGTAACTCATACACCAGATTGTAAGAAACTGAGTTTAACAGTCTGGTTGACCAGCCTGGTCATAGATTGAGTTACAGGGCATTGATCCTTAGACCACATGAAGGCAAGTATCAATGATCATTATGTGGTCAATGTGAATAACTCCAGATACAAAAAATTACAGATTACGATAATGAATTTTAGCCTCGGTGCAGAGTCAAGTGAAGAAATAAAGCCCGAACTTGTGATCACTAATCTTTGTTAGAAGTAATGTGCTATTAGCCATGTATTAATATGTTGCGTGACTATATTTTTAACTATATAACCCATTAGCATACATCATTACTGCCTGTCTGCTGGGGATTCAGTTAGCAAGAGATTTCTAAAGTAGTGTTCTAATAATCTGACAACTAAACAAGTGGGATTAGAGAACTATAATTACCTTAGTTTATTGTGAGCATTCAACAAACTAGGAACAGCTGAGATGGTGTATGTACTGTATTAGTGTTAAGCAGGCTAATGAAAACAACAAAGGTAGGAGTCCATCATAGTTATCCAGGTCACGAGTGGAGGTTATAACAAGGTTTTTTATCTTCAGCTGATATAAGTTTACTCTTGTTACTCAGGCAATTACTTAATTTTTAGGTGACGAGGATATGGGAACAGTGGAAATAAGCCGCCTAATTCCTGTGGAGGAATAAGAATAATCCCAACTGAGTTAAAGGATGTGCATAAGGGTTGCAGGTTGCAGCATATGGGGTGCATAATCAAGAAAGAATCATCATATAATGTATATGGAGCATTTAAATCTATTCTATAATCTAGCTTTGGAATAGTAAGTGATGTTTGAGTTGAATGTGATGGTGAATGAGCAAGTATGAGTGAGTGCTTACCTATCAATGACTATGGGAGGAGCTCTAGCGTTTTATGCCCCGCCTCCTGGTTGTTCATACCTGCTGTGCTAATTACCCTTCTCAACATTAACGTTTCCATCATAAGTCTTTTTAAGGTTGTGGATGGAATTGGCTTCAACAACCTTTTCCTTCAATACATTCCACTTGCCTACCATCCACACAGGGAATGAGAACCTGACAGGAGAAGTCAGGTTCATCTCTAAGTCCTAACATCTCCAATTCAATTGCAAATTCAGCTTCCACTGATGCCCTCTCTTGTCCTACCCCTTTTTAATTTAAATAGGGATCCTATATCTACTGTATCTATCCCCCTTCAAGATCTTGCACACAGTTATCATATCCCCTCTGTTTCTTCTCTCCTCTAAGATTGTGTGACAGTTCTCTCAACCTGTCCTCATAGACGAGGCCTCTCAATTCTGGTACTTTCTCAAGTTTCTGTGTAATGCTTCACAAGGTTCCTGGTTCCATGCTGGAGCTGCATACTCAAGTAATGGTCTCACATTAGGAAGTGTGTATGGATGTGAAAAACCTTCTTTTTTAGATTCTTAAATGACATTTTTATGGTTGCTAACCTCCCATTTGCTGCTGTTATCCTGTTCACACGAGCTTTTGGTGTTAGTGTTGAGATTATATACAGTATACTCAAATGTCTTTCTCTTGCAGTATTGTTTCTTGTAATTGCCTTCCCCTTATGGTGTAGTTAAATACAGATCTATCTCCCTTACCCATTTTCATTGCTTCAATGCACTTATTTGGATTGAATTCCAGAAGCCATTCACCTGCCCACTCCTGAAGTTTGTTAATGTCTTCTTGCAGCACCCTGCAGTACTTTTTAGTTCTTACTCTCCTCATTAACTTTGCATCATCTGCAAACATTGACATGTATGAGCTCACCTCCTTTGTGAGGTCATTTACATAAATTAAAAACAGCAATGGTCCTAGAACTATGACCCTATCTTTCCTGTCCATCAAGTACAGTACTTTTGTACCCAGTCCAGTGCATTTCCTGTTGTCCCTGCTTGTCTCTCCATCTTGTGTATTAGTCTAGTCACGTGAATCCCCTGCATAGCAGTGGAACTGCCTTTCCTACTCACCCTCAATGCCTCTGTACTGGAAGTTCACCTCTACACCAGCCCGGATGAGTCATCAGTCCTGCCACCTCTCACCTCTCCATACCCCCCCAGGGTATGGCATGACCTGGTATGACTCTGTGGCAAGCTGAGCACCTCCGCTAACCGGTAGTTTGCCATCACAAACAAGCAGTTAGCCACCTTCAACTAGCAGTGGGGCATCTCAACACAAAGGCCCCACCAGCCACAAACTAGCAGTTTACTAGTAGTGCTTGTTACCACCTTGCGTCAACACCGGATGAGTCATCACCACCAGACTATATAAAGGGCACCGCCTCCCTACAGAGCCAGTCTCTCTCTCAGTGCTCTTGGATCACCTTAGCCTCCTGCAACGCCATCTGCCCTCAGCCTACGTCATGTGCTGGATGTTGTAGTGGTATGGTAGTTGTCTTCAGCAAACCAGTATACTTTTGTATTAGATTTAAACTTTCATTTACTTAATTTTATTTGTTCTACAATAACAGCCAAGTGTTCTCGGGTGCCATTTTTGTTCATTAATACCCAGTATTTCAGTAAATTGTTTTATTATTTATTTGACAATTTTCATTTGTTTCCACCTGCGACAAACACTGCAAGGGCCAATAGCAGCATTTTTTGTTTATTTGTGTGATGGAGAGCCATACCACCTTGGTTCAGTACTGTATACAGTAGTTGCGATACCACAACCCGTCACAGTCTTTTGTGAAGAACTGTTTCAAGAGCATTTTTGCAGTCTAGGAAGATGCAGTTTACCCATCCTTTGTTCTCTAACTTATTTTGGTGAACTTGTCATAGAATTCAATCAAGTTTGTTAAGTATGATTTTCCCACTCCCTGAATGTGTGTTATGCTTCTGTTATAAAATTTACTTTCTCCAAATGTTCTACAGCCCTTTTTCTGGTGACGTTTTCTAGAATCTTGCATGGAATGCATGATAATGACACTGGTTTAATTTTAGCGTTTATATCAGTCCCCCTTTCTTAAATATTGAAACTACATTTGCTTTTTCCAGATTTCCAGTACTGTAGCTCTCCCATCTCTAGTGTAGTGTTGAACACTATACTTAATGGAAAGCAAGATCCCTGCAGCTTCCTTCAGTAGCCACTGATATTTGGTCTGGTCCAACTGCTTTTGTTACATCCAGCCCCTCCAGGTGTCCTTTTACCTCTTGTACATTAACTGTAATTGCCTAGTGTTGTTTCTGGTTGTCTGTTGTCATCCCTACTTGGACACCAATCTGGTTCTGGTTTGAAGACCTGCAACCGCTTGAGTTCTTCACACATTTCTTTGTCATTCTTCAAGAGTGATCAACCCCTGTCCCCACAATCTAATCACATGATATCGTGCCATTGTTTTTCTTGCACATGATTTTCTTGCATATATTTGCTGATTTTCCTTCCATTTTGATTTTCCACTGAACCTTTTGCAGATACAATAATCCCTAATCCTCCTGTAATCCCCTATTTTATATTCTCACTTGCCCCTTGCCATTTTTCCAACTTTCAGTTTTACAATGTTATCAATATGATACTGAAGTGGTCACTGGCTCCTAATGCTACCTCATATTTTAAGTTCTCTACATCACATTAATTTTGGGCAAACACCAGGTCTAGGGTAGCTGGTAGATCACCTATTTCTCTTGTCAGCTCCTTGATATGCTGCCATTGGAAGCGTTTGTCTGTAGTGTCCATATATCTTGCTCTCCATGTTTCATTTCCTCCATAGGAATCCTTTGTTGACTAATCTATTTCCCTCTGGTTAAAATCCCTAAGTATTTAAGTACTGAGATCTATACTCTGGCTCTAATTGCCACTGTATTTAATTTGCCTTTTCTAATTGCCACTAATTGCCTTTTCTATTATCTTCAGGCATAATTTGTTGCATTTATCATTCCTCCATTGACCTTTCTGTTGTTAATGAAGGGTTGTAAATTGCACCTACCACTATCTTTGTACTGTTCTCACTGTTATCATACCTAGTATAAAATCCTTCTGGTTGGCTACCTCTGGAATCTCTATCTCCTCAAACCAACCATGTTGGTGTTTCAGCAGGCCTATTCCTCCTACCCACGTTTATCTCCTCTTTTCTTACTTTTTTCCATTGGGAAAATTGCATCTCCTATTACATTCATCAGTTTTGTCTGTAATTGGAATGATATTAGGATTCAGTTCTGCCACCTGTTCTTGCAACTTTACTCCTTTATTTGTAATGCCATCTGCATTTGAATAGCAAATGTTTATACTATTTATGTCTACTGGGTTGTTTTGTTTCCTACCAGGATAGATTCTCCATTTTGGCTAGTCCACATCTGAAGGGTGGCATTTATGAGTGTTGGTTTAATCACACACTCATTTCCCTGAGCTTTTTCTTCGCTAGTGACATTAAGCCCAATTTCTTGCTCTACCTAATTATCCTCCTGCTCTGGTCTAACTTCTTGCTCCCTCCAAATTCCATTTCTTGTCCTTTTTTTACCATTTTTTTTTGCTTTTCCTCTCTATTTCCCTTAGTTTCCCCTTTCTTCCTTACTCATGTCCCAATGTACATTTCAATGTGTACATTTCAATGTAGTCAATGTACATTTAGGCGTATCTTCCCACATCCCTTAAATCTTATCTTGCCTGCCAGTACATACTTCACAGGAAGATTTCTTTGGAAGGCAACCTTCACTGGTCTGTTGGATTCTCCCTATTTTACGTTTTTTTTTTTTCTTGGGTTGGCCTACCTGCTTGCATTTTCTCTAGGACTTCTTTTATTTCTTTACTCTCCATTTCCTGTCTCCTGGCTTGTGGCCCCCACTGGTTCTGTCAGGTTTTTTATTACCAATTATTCTCTTTCCCATTCTTGTTCATTGCAATTCACTGTACCTACTTTGATCTAATAGCCTATATCATTGTTGCTTTTATTATTTGCCTTGCCTTTGACCTTTTGGCTACTTCTGCAAAGGTCATTGGTGGTTCTTGACCCCCATTGTTCTGTCACCTTTTCCACTTTTTGTAATCTTTATGCTGCTTATCTAGTGGCATCCTTTGCATTTTTACCCTCCTCTACTACTACCTTAAGCCTTTCCTTCCGCTTGTTGACACTTGCTTCCCTACTTTGGTGCTCTAATTTCAATTATCTCCTTCAGCCCTGATGTCTGTTTTTGATTTACTACATATTCTCAATTTCTCTTAGTTCATGTATCTTATCTTTCTCACAGTTTATGGATTTCTGTACTTTTTTCTCCAGTCTTCCATCTCCATCTTCATCCCTTCTATCTACATCTCCCTCCTCCTCTTCTCTTCTTCCACCTTTTGTCTCCACTATCTCTCTATCCATTCTTAGTTCTTCTAATGTCTTCCTTATTACATCAATAGTGCTTTCATTTGCTCTTCTGTCCTCTCATACTGATCTCAATTTGCATTACAAGGTCCCCACATTGCTTTGTTTACTTCCTTTGATCTCAAAAGCTTTTCACCACATTCGATCCCTTCTTTACTCCCTATAGTTATCTCCTGTTTACCCATCCAATCTCTCTTTTCTTCCTTTAACACCTTGTCTATCTTTGAAACTGCACACCACGTATATTAAGCCATTCTTGCATTACAACAATAATGACTATATCCCCTATTCCCCAAGTCACTGACCAATAACTGGCAAGTTGCTCCTTATCCTCTGTCATTCTGTCATGTTAGATTTTTTCTAATGGTGTTTTTCCCACTGCCGACGGCACTATTCATATTTCTTTCTTTGCTCTTTCATCTAGTGGCTTCACTATCCCCTTTTTGTTGATCAATTCACAATTTTTTATATTATAAAATACTTCTATGTTCACTTGTGTCGTTAATTTGAATCTACCTCTTTTTCTTTACTCTTTCACTGTTTTATATTCCTCTATTGTTGTTTAGTGTTGTGATTTCTTTTTATCATTAAAATGTATACAGCTGTTCAAAGCCTCATCATAATCAAATTCTAAAGCATGTCCCCCATCCCATGGTAAGAGCAAACCTGTATAAGATTTTGCAAAAGTAATACAATATACAGCAATACCGAAGTACACTAAAGCTATTCTAAATATACCCTAACAGTGTTACATAAATTTTATAGGTTACCTGTACTGATCAAAATATCTTGTACACACCATTTTTATTCTTTACAACATTATTAATAAATCACCATATTGTGCTCATGTGAAAAAGCCATTACATTACAGTATTAATGCTAAATAAACAGTACAAATAAGAGCATATAAATTTACCTTCATGTTCTTCACTGGCTTTCCGCTTGAGGCTACTTCTCCTTTCGAGCTGATCTGCAGAACCATTAAAAACGGGTCTTCTTGGCACATTAAACTCTTCATCTATTACATAGTCCCAGTTTTGTTCAGAATCACACACACCACTCTGATGTATACAGCCATTTTCACCTTGACAGGCATCGCCATGTTCCTGATCTTCGCTGTAACATGACTCGCCAGCTTCAGAATCCGTGTCTCTTATGGCATCCAAGTCAATGCCAAGGCCACTGCCAATGCCATCCACTGTATCTTTTGAAACACTTTGATTATTCTGGCACCCTAAAGGAATCTTTTCAACACTATCATTTTCATTCACGATTGAATGTTTAGATATTTCTTTTTTTTTCTCTAATACTGATTCGGTCTCCTCGTATTTCTTTTTTATTTCTAATTCCCATTCTTCATGTTTCTCACTGGATATTAACTCAATTTCACTATCATTCCTAACCCCACAATATTTGTCACCGTCTTTTTCAGTTTCACAACCATTCTCAACAAATATTGTCTTGGTTTCGTTGTATTCCTTACTTTTAACAGGGTTGTTAACACTTATTTCATTTACAAAGTCTTTGTCACAAATTTTCTCACTGTCCAGAAAACTGTCTTTTTCAGTTTCATTCTTTACTTCATTTCTAACCGCTTCATTTACTACAATTGTATCTAATCTTTTTGCGGTCTCAATACTGTCATTCCTTGTTTCACTTCTTTTATTACTTGTGCAAGTTTCCTCTTCATTCTGTATTGGCTCTCTAACACGTGAAGAATCTTCCTCACATTTTTGGGGGATGTCCACAGCCTCTTTCACTTCAATTAATGGGGTAATATTACTTTCAGTGTCCAGACTTACCTCAGAGTCTCTAACAACTGCTACAGTTTGCCACAACACATCTTTTATAACATCTTTATTGCACTGAATGTTCAATACATCCCTGTTATTCATAAGTTTGATGTGATTACAGCATTCAGCTTCTTTAACGTCATCTGAAGAGTCATTTGTCTCATCACATTTTTCTGGCGAAGAAAATAGGGTATTTCCCATGCCACTATCACTACTAACACAACTATTTAAATCTGAACAACACTGGCTCTCAGGGGTTTCTTGTGGTGGTCCTGCCCTGTCCTCAATGGTCCCCCCAACCTCTGAGGTACTGCTTTGTGGGCTTCTACTGGTCTCTTGCTCCGACATAGTAGACACCTGCAAAGGATAAACAATTTAGTACAGTAAATTGTTTCTACAAGGAACTAGTAACAAACATCCATAAATACACTTATGATTCAGTGTATGAATAAATACCATGCTATGGAATAGGAGAAAATAGGCTACACACAACCTATAATTATGTGAGAAAAATGTAACAATTCTGATAGAAAGATCTAGGGATAGCTCGGGATAGAAAACTGTCACCTGAGGACCATATAAAGAACATCGTGTGAGGAGCCAATGTTATGCTATCCAATTTCAGAATTGCTTTTAAATACATGGATGATGAAATACTAAAGAAATTATTCATGACCTTTGTGTGACCAAAGCTAGAATATGTAGCAGTTGTATGTTGCCATATCTTAAGAAGCACATCAGCAAACTGGAAAAAGTGTAAAGACATGCAACTAAATGGCTCAAGGAACTGAAAGACAAGAGCTAAGAGGAGAAGTTTGAGGCATTAAATATGCTAAAACTATAAGATAGGAAGAAAAAAAGGTGATATGATCGCTACATAGAAAATGTTAACAGGAATTGACAAAATTGATAGGGAAGAATTCCTGAGACCTGGAACTTCAAGAACAAGAGGTCATAGATTTAAACTAATTAATCAAAGCTGCCAAAGAAATATAAGAAAATTCACTTTTGCAAACAGAGTGGTAGATGATTGGAACAAGTGGAGGTGAAGCCAAAAGTGTCAGTAGTTTCAAAGCATTATATGATAAAGTACAGTACTGGGAAAACGGGACACCACAAGCGTAGCTCTCATCCTGTAACTACACTTATGTAATTACACACACAAATTGTGTACAGTACAACACTACAATATCACACAAATGCTGCATTCACTAGACACTGTCTTCCTGTGAATCTGGGGACAGAAATTTTTTTTTTACCCTTCTTTCTCTCTCAAGGCCCTCTGGCCAGGACACAGCCAAATCATTCATAGACTTCAGTAAAAATAACTTCTTAATTGTTAAAACAGTTTATATCAAGTTAGGTTTTAAAATCCATTGGTACCTCCAAAGGATACCTGATCAACCAGGCTGTGACTCGTACGTCAGGCTGCGAGCAGCCGCGTCCAACAGCCTGGTTGATCAGTCCGGCAACCAGGAGGCCTGGTCGACGACTGGGCCGCGGGGACGCTAAGCCCCGGAAGCACCTCAAGGTAACCTCAAGGTAAGGTAAAGTATTCTGGTCACAAAGTGACCTGTATCCCTCGTATTTCTCTCGATAATCTCTCATACGGGAACGGTTGAGGGCCACAGGGCGAACAACACTACAAACCAGACAAGACAGGACAGATCTCACTGAAACTTTTAAAATACTGAACAAGTTATAGGATGTTAATCCGGATATTTTCTTCAGAAGGTCAGATGTAACAAACAAGGAGCAACAGTTTCAAGCTCAACAAGCTACAATGTAAGACTGAGAACGAGATGCTTTTTTCACCCACAGGGTTATTATTATTAACCTTCCTGGAATGACCTTCCCAATTATGTTAAAGACTGTACCTCACCCCCAAAATGTCAACCCATGTCTACTATTTTAAACAATGCTGTTTGTTGATCAAATTGTATTTTTGCTTTTTTTTCTGCCATGTTTCCCCCCCCCTTTTTTTCCATTTTTTTTTCTTATTTTTTTTCAACACAATTTATACTTTAATCTCAAGTAGTATTAAATTTTAGTCTTAAGTGTTTTTCCTGCCCGAAACGCTTTGCGTAATAGTGGCTTTAGGAATTGTATGTACTAGCTGTATTTATAAATCCATCAACTTTTGTAACTTACCTTGTATGTATGTACTTTACCTGAATAAATATTTGTATTTGTAACCCATGGAAACGCCTACCTGCCGAAGCTGTAACTGCCAAAACTGTATTGAGTTTTAAAACATACCTGGAAACGATTATAAAGGCAAATGGGGGGGGGGACCTTCGACAAGCTGCTGGCTTCCTGTCCTCAAGGCCACTTGGGTAAGTGGCCCTCATGTAAATTGGGTAAATCAGGTATCCTCTTGGCCAAGGGTGAGGTTGACCGATCACCCATCCAGTAACTGGCCACACCCAACAATGATTAATCCAACTAATGAGACAATGAGCACCTCACCGACAATGCCACGATAACAACACAATTATCTTTGCAACAAAATGTTGTACAGTATTCACAATAATTCTCCACTTTCCATGACTTAAGAGGTTGACCTTGTAACCGTTCAGGGGAGGAAAAATTCTTGTATGTTGTTTTACACTTTCCTAAAATAAGTTACCTATACAATAAGTGACATTAAGCTCACTTTGTGGAAGAAGTAATGGCGTAACGTACAGAAATAGTTTAGTGCTTGCAAGGAGTCATCAGGCAACACCAGAGCTTCCTGGCCCCATCACCCGTCCTCATATACTGCCTCTCAACACCCGTCATGTGGCCGTCCTCGCCTGGTGCCAGGCCCCCGCTCCACCTCACTTACTTCTCTACACACATCTATGTAGGAGTAGTTCCTCAAGGGTGTATAAGGTGGGGGAAACAAGGCAGCCTCCCCAACCTCCCGTGTTTTCAGTTACACTGAACTTATCCACACTGCGTCCCAATGGTGCTCTCCAGTAGTTGCTACAGCACACAAATTTTATTCTTCAGCTACTGCAGCAGAAGCTTTCGTCACACATCACACCCACTTCTATTATTCTATAGGTTGTGTGTTCCGGGAGCCATTGATTCGGTAGTGTGTGGTAAATATATAGAAAATGTAATATGCAGAAGTCGCCGTAGAGGTATTGGGACACGGGCCAGATGACGAGAAGACTAGTGACGTCACCGCTCACCCACCAATCACCGTAAGGATATTTTGACGCAATAAACCAGAATTTGCTCTAGACACATAATTTATCCTTTAAATAAGTGTCATATTTTACTTAATATAGATACAATTTATAGACCGCAATTTCCGCGCGACCTGCAAATGATATGTGATTACCATAAGATAACATATATGTTGATGTTCCTACAGTATATCTACATGGAAATGTCTGTCAGTCTGTTTGAGGATGGAGGCCAGACGCTTGGGGATAGTCTCAGCCAACTTTGTACCCTGATTCTTGCGGGGTACGTGCCCAACAAAGTTGGGTCTAGGCTGGCAATATTCAAAAGAGAACAGCACGGCATGGCCTCATACCTTATGAGCCATACGGCCTTGTGATGATTTATCATTAGTCACCAGTTTCCATTCGGCTAAAAAAAAATGTACCTTGATTCCGGTGGGATGCAAACCCAAAATGGTCAGGTTGGGGTTCGCCATATTCAAAAGAGAACAACATAGCATAGCCACATACTCCCCCCCCCCCCACATGATGATTTGGCATTGGCCACTGGTTCTCCAGCCCGTCCTCTTACGGTTTCCCAACATCAAGAAACTGTTTTACCAAAGTCCCCCTCTCCTAACCTACCAGAGGACCCAAACCAGAAAACGGAACAGCATGTAATTTTTATGAGCCGCTACCATTTTTTAGTACAACAATTTTTGGCCGTAGGTAAAGTGTGCATTAAAATGCGATGGTATATTAGGAGGATGGGTTTGGTTCTCATCTGATGAAATAGTTTGAAAAGAAAATGCAATTATTTTTTTTACAGCGCTGTAAAACATTATGCACTGATCTCAGGAAAATTAACAAATTATTTACTCATTATACATTGCCTGTAGTAGCAAGAAGTAACTTTTAAACTATGTACACACACCACCACCAAGGCTCAGCCCCTTCCCCCAACCACCCACAGGCTGACACATTATGTACTTATCAAGTGCCAGTCTCAAATGTTGGGTTGTGTTTTTCCAATAGTGAGCAGTTATTGTGATTTTTGTGGTATTACATGTTCTCTGTAAGAGACAGAGAGAGAGAGAGACTGGGACACTGGTAAGGATCCTTCCGTTTGGCATTCTACCGCACATATATTCGTTTGAGCGTCATACAACTGTGGTCAGAGGAGCCCTGCTATTTCTAAGTGTCCATTAAAGAAGGTTGGTGAGATCTCATCATGCAGGGAGGCTTGTTATGGGCTGGTGGTGGTGGTCAAGTGGGACGTAGTGCTGAAGGTGGCAGGAGGCGCAGAGTTTGTGTGAGGCCTGGAGCAGAGAGCATTGAGTGAAGTGAGGGGTAGAGAGCTGGAATGCGGCTGGGAGTGGCTCTGCTCCTTAGTGTTATATCTGCGTCTACCTCACCTTGTGCTGGACCGTTATTGTTGTTTTAGATTCAACTACTCGGAACAAAAGTTCCATGTAGCACGGGCTATGGTGAGCCATAGTGGACTTACCCGACACAGGAGCGGGGCTGTAACTGCGATATGTGTGTGTGTGCTGGACCCAGTTTGCTTCTTAATATGGCAGGATGGTCATCATTGGCCTGATGGGAAGCTCACTGGCTACTTTTGGCACCCACTAAGTTATTCGTGGCAACGTTGGTGAATATGTATTAATATAATTATATGTCATTGATGATCATGTGGTATAATTGAGAACATTTAATTGTTTACAATATAATTTCTTGGAATGTGGGAGTCCTTGTAGCAGCCACATTAGCTGTAATGTTGCTGCCTCAACACCATATATGAATCGAGCTCCTTCAAGGTTGAATGTTATGAACTGTTCATGCCGTGCCACCTCTTGGGTGCCTTAATCTCTATCAACCAATAGCTAGATGTTTAAGTCATCCTTATTTGTGAAAAGTTCAGAAACATAAAATGATCCAAGTAATTATAGTTTAAATGGAGCCCAAGGACCTATCATATTTATTTATATACAAGAAGGTACATTGAGTTTGTGAGGATACATAGCATGGTATTTACATTCTTGTAAAGCCACTAGTGGAGTAGTGGCTTTAGCCGTATGAGTATGAATACCACCCCCCTGGCTACAGACGCCAGCCAGTCATAACAGGTAGTAGAGAGAGCAACCAGCAGCGTCCCAATTTAAACCCCAGCGAGATGCAGTGATGACGCAATATTGGATG